TCTTGAAGGTAAAGTTTAAGACTGGGATCTGGAGATAGGTGTAGGCTTGAGATCTGCTTGCTGTTGAATCTGTTATATTTAAAGTGTGAATAGCAATGTCCCCACAAATTTGCCAAGATTTTGTCTCAGGTGGTAACAATCAAAATAAAGCACCTAGGACTGGAGGTGTAGCTCAGTGATAGAATTCTTGCCTCCTGTGAGCCAGGCCCTGGATTGAATCCCCAGTAACACCAAACAACAAGGAATGGAAATGAACTGAACCAGACCAAACTGAGCTGAACCAAACTAAACCAAACTAAAAACTCCTAACAATATTACCTGCCTTGTTCAGTTTGGTATTGCTACTAAAGAATATCCAATGTTGTAGGCAGCTAAATTAGATAGAAATATTATAGGCAATCAGACAGGGCCAGGCCCTCAAGGAGATAATACGGAAGACAAGGTGACTTTGCAACTTTTTAAAAATTTTTTTTAAATGTATTTAGAACAGGGTCTCACTACATAGATTAGACTCTTTGTGATTCTCCTATTTTCAGCCTTCCAAGTGCTGGGATTACAGGTGTGCACCACCATACCCAGACTCATTTACTGTCTCAGTGCACCCTGGAGGTGGGGCCGTCACGGCAGGCCAGGATCAAACTGCGGCCACTGAGTCTGCCTACCCTGGCCACTGAGTCTGCCTAAGCAGGCGCTCTAATCCACTGAGCTATCTGGCCAGCCCTAACTTTGCAACTTTGGAAGAGACAGATACTCCCACTGTGGGCCAGACCTCAAGACAAAAGAGTAAATAAACACAGCCACTGTCTGACTGCCTATGATATTTCTATCTAATTTAGCTGCCTACACCAGTCACACCTAACCGGCTCCCAGGATAGCAGCACTAATCCATTCAGCGCCTAATTACTTCTTACAACACTACCTCTCCATACTTTTTTGAGGGCAACTTCAGCAAGTGTTTTGGGGGAGATTCAAATCACAGCCCTGGGCTAGGGAGGTAGCTCAGCAGTCTACGCGCCCGCCTGTAATTGCCAGCACCCAGGTTTGATCCCCAGTAACATATTCCCTGCTGGCCCAGAAACTGGGTGGTGAGACCCTGTATCAAATAATTTAAACAACAACAAAAAACTGCAGCCCTATCCACGGGCATTTTCACTGATTCAGCTAGACAGTGAAAAAAACATCTTTTTTACTGAATAAAATGAAAAATTTAGAATGTTCTACTGAATATGATTGTGTTGAATAACATGGAGAATTTACTGAATTTTTAGGACTGACACTTTGCATTCAAACACAGCCATGCTGGCAGTCCTCCCTCCTCCTCCTCTCCTGGGGGACCAAAGAACAAACTCTGTATAAAAGAGGCCTGCTCAGGTCCTGCCTGCCCAGGCACTGTGCAGAAGTTACACATACAAAATCTAAAGATTGGGAGGCTCTGTGCCAGGGACACACGTGATGACATTTAGATGGATCATGGAAAACCAGTCTTATTTGAACAGTATCATTTGCTCATAATCACAGAGAGGTTAATAAAAAGACTTCCTGTCTCCCCATTTTCTTCACAGTATTTAAAAAGAATGACTTCAGATTTCTTTAGGGAATTGATCTATAGAACTCTCATTAAATCACTGGACATTTTGATAGAGGATATTAATTACATAAATAGTAAGGTACTTTATTCTATATGGGAGAAAAAGATAAAATAGAGGAAACATAAGTGTGATGATTTAAAAGAACTGAAGCTTAAAAATAACAAAGAGCTGGGGGGGGGGTGCTGCATGCTTGTAAACCCAGCACTTGCGAGGCAGAGGCAAGAGGACTGTTTTGAGTTCAAGGTCAGCCTGGGCAACATAGTGAGCTCAAGGTCTACCTGGGCAATATAGTGAGAGCTTGTCTCAAAATCAAAATAAAACAAAAATAAAAGTGTTGTGAATCGTGTACAGACAACTCTGAAATGCGAAGAAGCAAGCATGTTGGTGGAGAATCTTGGGGAAGAAGAGTTAAGTGTGCAGTGGGCTGACTTTGAGAAAAATTTCTCATTCAGGTAGGTCTCTTCTAAAGTTCTACAGGTAGTGACTGAGCAGTTAATGTTGGTATGTTGATTCTTAGTTAACTATAAGAATGATAGACAATTTCATTCTTTTTAGTTCAGTTTCTTCTGTGGATATGTGGTAGAGGTCTGAAAGTTTCCTTGGAGGGATCTGTCTATCTCTACCTTATTTATTTATTTTTTTTTTTTTGTATTTTAGGGAAGGGTCTACAGGGTGTTCAGGGTCTCACTACTAGACTGGACTCATAGTGATCCACCTGTTTACAGCTTCCCAAGAGCTGGGCTTATAGGTGCGCACCACCGTGTTCCGTCTCAACTGCTGTCTCAGCACACCTGGGAGCAGAGCCCAGGGATCGAACCCCAGCCCCTGCTCCTGCTTGCAGATACTTTAAACTACTGAGATATTTGGCCAGCCCTCATTTCAAATTCTTCTTTCCCTTTTTCCATCCCACTGAATGAAGAACATTCTGATGCACACCAAAAGACACAAGTGGGGCCAGTGAGACAGCTTAGCAGTCTAACTGGCGCCTGCTTAGGCAAAAGTGCAGGGCCGGTAGTTCAATCCAGGCACCACATGCCATGCCAGCCCCACCCCCATGGTGGGCTGAGCCAGCCACAAAAACAAAACAAAGAAAAAACAAGCAAAACGTGTGTCCTTTGCCACCCACATCAAAGTTTCTCTGTTCAATACTCAATCCCAGGAATTGCTTCCGATGAAGCGACATTCCAAGGTTCTCACATTTCTGTGACTGGACATCTGGTATGTCCTGACTCCAGAGCGCATGGCAAGGAAAGGCTCCAGAGTGTAGGTGTTTTTCTTTCTTTCTTTCTTTTTTTTGCAGTACTGGGGATTGATCTCAGGACCTTGCGCTTGTCAGGCAGGCACTTATTCCACTGAACTATCTCCCTGTCCCTGTATGTGTTTTTCATATTCCAGCAGAATTGAACTGGGGTGATTACAACTGTTTACTTTGAGCTGCATGGTGACACATACCTACCTGCACCCCAGCACTTTCGAGGCTGAGGCAGGAGGATTGCTTCAAGTTTGAGGGCAGCTTGGGCTACGTAGGGAGTTCAAGACCAGCCTGAACTGCATAGTGAGACCCTGTCTCCAAAAAAAAAAAAATGAATGAGTGTTCACTTTAGGGGAAACTGATTAGGTGATTCCAGGTACACAAAGCGCCAATACGTTGCTTTCTTTGATACTCTCTGAACATATTTCCTCCTCCATTTCTTTTTGTTTTTTAAAGAAACAAGGTTCTTGGAGGTCAAGGCCAATACAGACATTTTAATGCATGAACAGAGTACAAAAAAGATACAGCATCACTATTTTATTAGACGTGGTTTCAACAGTGAGAGAAGATATCCTGTTGGGTGAGTGAATGTACCCCTTAGAGCTTTCCTAAGAAGTCAGAGATTGAAAAACTGAGCACTGTCTTCACACATTACAGCTTTAGTCCCATAATCAAAAAACGAAGAAACCGAAGCCAAGCTTTCCAAGCCTTTTAATATAAGTAAGTTCAAAATTCAGAGAAAAGTCTTATATTTTAGTATCTGACTTGAAAACACATTTACTACATGAGAAAAACAAAACTATGGAAATATAGTTGGAGTAAGAACTCAACCTTTATTATATCATATCTGGTGTCTCTTGCCGGAGATAAAAATATTTAGTAAATTCATTAATTTTAGTAAAATAGTAATTCTATGTAAAAGTTATTAGAACATAACTATACACAAAACAAGTCTCTTTATATAATTAAAAATTTATTGAGTTTCCTGTGCTGTTACAAATGTAACATGGTTTTACACAACATTCATCGAGAAGGCAAGATTCTTATTTTGCGAGGACAGATTAGACAATTATTTTCAGTGAATAATTAACTTTCATTAGGAAATTTGACTACAAGCTGTTTTTCTGTAAAAAGTTGCTCGACATTCTTTACCTAACATAAAATTTAATTGTTTCTATCTCAAAATGACCATATGCAAATACCTTCTAATGTAAGCAAAGTAATTTCACAGTGTTTTCATTTTGGGGAAGAAACGGAGCTGGGTAAAGAATGTGCTGCTAGACCTCAGTATGAGGACAGTAAGAAGCTACCCTCGGACACAAGACAAAGCTTCCTGGGGAACTGAGAGTGAGGGATCCACAGTGTGAGGACCAACTTCCGGTTAGATGGCCTTCACGCATGCGCTTTACTTCTCTGGACTAATGCCCGTCTTGTCCTTCGGGTTTCATTATTCTGCCTACCCCATATCTGTATCTCCATATGACAGCACTGACCTTGGGACAGAGTGAAGCATACCTTTAAATGGCCAATCACAATTGCCCCCATGTGGTTAGACTTAAAATCAAAAATTTTTAAGGTATTTATTGACTAGTCCCTGGTTTACCAGATTCCCATCCTAGCATTTGTCCTTAGAATACCAACCTTAAGGGCAGGGGTTTGCTCAGTATCCATCAGTTTCAAAACACATCAGTGTAAACGCTGCTACCGACTCCCATGCATCACACTCAGAATTCAACTCCATGAGGTCAAATAACTGAGCCCACTTTTAACGAAGTGGGTCATGGGTCACTGAGCTCTGCAAGACTTTGAGTCTTGAACCAGACTGTCTCACTGACCACCAGGGATACCCTATTAGGACAATGTAGGCTGAGTCTGGGGCAGCGACAATGGATAGGGTGTCAGGCTGCACCCTTGTGCTTCCCCATCTATCTGGAAATTCCCTGGAAATAGAAGGGGATGAAACAATGTGCATTCTTGGCCCAGGTCCTAGATCTAGTTGATTCAGAATCTTTGGAGAAAAACTCAGATATATCTGTATATAAATAAACACACAAGTAGCATCCATGGCCCAGCCAGGACCCATCCAAGGTCCTGGAGAAGCATCGTTCTTACTCTCTGAGAGAACCCACTTTTCTTTGCCAGGTCCCATTTCTCTTTTGTTCATCCCCGCTGTTCTCATTCACTAGCATTTCATGTTAATTACGATTACCTCTGGAAAATTTCCTTTCAAATGATAGGGTTTGGGCTCAGAGATGAGCTTTCAACTTGCATGGATCCAAGTCCACTGGACTCTGCCACTTCTCTCCAAAATTAGGTTCAGCCACTTTGGCGGGTGGGGGCTGGGGGGTGAGGGTTGAAGACCTAGAAAAACAGCCATTTCTGAGCATGGGAAATTTCAAATGCTTGACCACAGCAGGATGACTACAGGGAACAAGGATGTATTACACATTTCAAACAGCTCAGAGTAAGGGTTTTCAAAGTTTTCACTATAGAGAAATGACCAATGTCTGAGAAGACAGGTATGCTTAACACGAGTTAAATATTGCATAACACACACCTGTTTGCAAATAGAACAAGGTACTTGATTCATGTCTAATTTTTAGGAGTCAGTTTAAAAGCATGATTCAAAGTGGGGCTCAGCAGAGGCAGCTTCACAGATCATCATCCTGAAGACGTGCTCTCCTGGGCTGTTCTCCCAGCTCCTCGTGTTTTTGTCAGAACTTTTTCATTATACACCAAGACAACACTCGCCAGGGCTTTCCCAGCAGCCCCAGTCAGTTAGCACATTATTTTGGATTAGCAAAGCTTGAGAATCAATCAAGTAAATTAAATGGTAATTGTGATAGGAACATTCAATTTTTCTAAGCAAGTTAATTTTTTTTTTTTTTTAAACAGGGCTACCAGAACTAGATCTTAATGGGAACTTTTATTACTGCTTTATGGTTGACAAAGGGGCAACAGCACGGGAAGAGTTGGCAGGAGTGTTTAACTCTATGCACCCAGACTTCCAGGATACTCTCAGAGCTACAAATACAAGAAAATAAACACTTTCAAAAGTTAAAAAAAAAAAAATAAGAAGAAGAAGCAGCAGATTTACGATTCCTGTATGGTGAATGGGGAAAGATTATGCATTCAGGCCAAATTTAGGGGGATGATGGATATGTTTACTTCTGTGACTGTGATGGTTATGTCAAAGTGTATCAAGTTGTATGGCTCAGATATATGAAGTTTATTATATGTCAGTGTTACCTGCAACTTAAAAACAACCTTAATTCTCAAATCACTAAAAGGATGAGAATAATTAAGGGGGAACTGGATGTCTAAGATAAAAGAAGCAGGAATGTTAGCCTTTTTTTGCTCTTTCACAAGTTCAGGGCTTACTCTACTAAAAAATGTCAGAAGAAACAGATGGGACTCAAACAGGGTTATATCTTGTTTTACGAAAACTTAATATTCTTCCATCTACAACTAACATGTTTAACATGTGTAGAAAGAAGGCATGCTAGAAAGAATAATTTACATGAAACAACATCACGTTTTCCTACCAATCTGGTGATACCAAAATGACTAGTAACGTGTTTATGGGGTAATTTTTAATCTATGAAAAATTAATAGTATTCAATAGAGTAAATGAAGTGGTTTTCAACACTGAACAATTCTGAAACTTTTCATAGATACTATGAAAAGAACAAACCTGTGTATTCATACCCTTCATTAAGCTAGGGTCAGAAGATTGGAAAAATCAATCAAGTCAGATATTGTTTTGGAAAATGAAAGGATGCACAAAGCAGCTAAGTGCTTTTCTCTTTGAGCCACCTACTGTAAACTGCCAGAATTATGAAGCCTCATTTGCCTAAAATATTAGACATGCTGGTTAATCATAGCAATTTTAAAATAATTCATTCTTTATATCTCAGTTTCAAAGAAACCTATATCTTATTTTGCCACTTTATCTAAAAGAAGAGGCTGCAAAAAGGTCTTACCCTTAAACGAATGTATGCTCTTAAAATTATGTATTTGACAACCTAAACAAAGTCAGGTTCCATTTAAGGAAAGATGCATGCAATGTACAGTGTAAAATTATGAATTTTAACAAATTCAACTAAGACTTAGAAAATCTAATCTTGGTTTGACATGTAGTATTATTATTTTTTTTTAGGTCTATTGACAATTTTTTTCCATCTTTCCCCCAAAGAACATTTCTAGAGCACAAAATAGATTCATAATGATTTAATTAGATACATTTTATATATCCTGAACATAAGGTCTCCCATAGAAATAAACTAGTATTTTGTACACAAACTTTATTTACTGTGACACATCGTAATATACTGAGCCAAGTGCAAACATTTCTTACACCCCCTGGTGAGTGTGGAGCTCTGCTTCCACAAGCACTGCATTATCCAGGATGACAGAGAACAAGATGAGACAAGATGGATAATTAAAAGCCACAAGGTAGTAACAAAAATGGACTTTAGATTATTATGAGAAATGCTTCTCCAGCCACAGCTGTAACCAAGACAAAGTAGAAACAGATGCATCAGATTTTCCTCCCTAAAGCCCTCCTACTGGTCGTTAGGACAGGATCTAATGATTGATTAGTGGAGTTGCTCAAAGGCACGGGGCCAGAATAATCAAGAGAGCAAAAGCCTTAGAAAATCAACAACTTGGCATCCTTTGTATTGAAAAGCCCTTATTTTTTCTCACCCAGAAAATTACATTTGGGTCCCTCCCAATGTTATATAATTAACACATAGCATAAGATGTACCTGAAGTGAGGTTATTGTTACAATTGCCTGGAAATTATGGGGAAGATATTTTAAAGCAAGCCACGAAAAAATAATGAATCAAGATATACCCTATCAAGTACAGGTACACATTCCCAATGACAAATGTGGTCATACTATATACCTACCATGTACCAATAAACTTAATAAAAACCCCAGCAGAATGAGTAAAACTGCACCTTGTGTAGTAGCATCAGAATCAAAACATTTAGTTTCTCAGGGGCTCTCCACACTCTGGTGTGTGCCATCCATGTGTTTGGTCTACAGGGTCACTGCCGTTTATTGTCACTTTCCTAAATAACCATCTCCAATGAGAAAAAGGTGCTTATAAATAAGTCATGGGCAGGGTGTTCAGAAATATCAAGTCCTCTATTTTACATCATTTTAGGGTGAAAGCAAACAAAATGTTTGACTGGAATAAAAAGGCTTACATAAAATCCTGAGGAATACATCTGGTTTGATCAACAGAATGACCTAAGACTGTATCCTTTGTCGTGTGGTTCCCAAAGCCTAAATGTTAGAGATGAAAATTCTAGTGGGGAAGTCTCAGACTTCTACAAGCATCATGCAATACAAAATGAAAAAGATGAGGCCATTATGCCAATATGAGTGTTTGATGGGGAACATTAATCAAGCAGGAGTTAAGGGAGTATTATTTAAAACTTTATTGACCCATCAAATGGTAATAATCAGGGCACATAAATCCCCAGAGATTCTAAATCTGAGATAAAACATGGCGATTTTAATTAAGTTGACATTTTGTTCATCTTCCTGTTGACATCCTAATCAGAGCTACAAGTTAGCTTCGATCAGCATTTTGCAGGCTACCTGATCAAGGTTCTGTCTACAAGTTTTCACTTGCTCAAGTCTAACCTGAGGTACACTGGCTGTTTCCTCATGGGCCCAGGTCCTCCTCCAGCCTCCTCACTGATGTCCTATCTTAGCCACAGGCGGCCTCCCTTCCTGTTCTCTACCTACAAAGCCTTCGCTTAAAAGGGTTCTAATGCTTCTGCTATTTTGAGACTGTTCAAGAAAATGTAAGGACAGGCTAAGACCACTTAAAATAGCATTGTAAGCCTTCCCAATCACAGGGAGCGGATGTCCGGGAGGAGTCAATGTATTCTAATTAAATTACAATTAACATGAAGGGGATGTAAATGAGGATGAAGATCAAGGGGGTCAAGAAGAATAAAGGAACAGGTGAGCACTGAGGGCAGGGGTGCTCACAGCCGTGCAGAAGCCACAGAAGACTTAACGAAGGAGTGAGGAGATTGAGAAGCACAGGTGGGGTCTGCTTACGTGGAAAGCCCAGAGTTGCTGCTGGTTCAAAGAATCTGAGGATGAAATTCTACTCTGAATTTATGCAAACTGTACACATAATGTAAGGACTTGACTGAAGGACGAGATGAGTTTTGGATAAGTAAATATTGCTCCAATTAGAGGAAATTGTAGGATTTTCCCTTACATTCTTATCGGCAGCTTTGTTTGGTGGTAGATTAGCCATTATTAGGAACGCTGAAGTGAGGAGAAATGACAATAAAATCAAGACTTCACAAGTGAATATAAAATGTCAGTAGCCATAATACCAGAGTTTAAAGTAACACTTAAATTTAGATGGTAAGAATCTAAGAATAAAAATCTAATGATAAAATATATGTAATTTTATAATTCTCTAGGAAAATCTCTCAAGAGATTTTTAAAAAAAATACAGGCATTTAATATAGTTATCTACATGCAGAAACTTAGGAACACTGATGCAAGTTTCCCAGGAAAGCTTCTGTATACTGTGGTGGAAAAATAAATCCTGCACTCTGCGAAACACATTTCTGCCCTCCCCTCCACTGGGATGGATGGATTCTCTAGCTCAAGTTTTATAATCTCTGCCCCGAGCAAGTAAGTGCCTCATATGTCGTCATGTATCACACGAACCACTTGACAAAAATAAGAAATATAATTTTGCATAGAACCCACTGTAACAATGCAAATAAGCTATGAGCACTCTTGATTCTGTTTTCAGTGGAACCGGAATAGTGGCAACGAGGTGGTCACAGGAGAGAGAAGATGTGCGTTACATTGTGCTTCGTTCAGAAACGGGTGCTTACAGTCCTAGGCCCACACTGCGATTCCATATGCCGTCTGGCATTTCCCTCCAAAGTTTTAACATTGGGGACAAATGTGCAAATCAAATGCATTTTACCAAACAGCAGGGCAAACTGTGAGATTAGGTGGAAGAGGGAGGTTGTTACGTGGACACAGGACAAGAACTTAACGCACAACGTGAAGACAGGGATCTACTAAGCACACCTTTTCCATCACGCCCTTCAGATACACCATGCAGCAATTCACTCATCAAAGAACATGTTCACTGCTTGAATCCATTCGTTTGCTGATTCACTGTTGATGGAGAGAGTGAATCACTGTTCTGATGGAGAAAGTGAATCATGCTGTGATTCAAAGGATCTGTCCTTCATAGAAACCTATGAGCACACATTTAAAAATGGTTTATTGTACATCTCTGCATTTCTTAAGGCATGAACAATGGCATACAGATGGAACAGGCTCTGGGAAGCATCAGGTCTTTCGACAAGGTCAGCACAGCACATCAGAAACACCCTTGAAGTCTGAACTGACCGACTGCTGCAGCCCGGGGTTCTTTTAGGAGAAGGGGATGTCTCTTCCAGACAAGGGACCAAATGTGTGGTTCATATGTTGTTTTTAACTCTCTTGATCGGCGTTAAGCACCAGTTGCAGTTTGTTTTTCTTTACGAATCCTTCAGACTTTGGATTTTATAATTCTGCTCATTGTATCCTTTCCGAGGAGGGCGTGGGGTTGCTTTTTTTAATTTTTTAAATTTTTTTTAAGGAATATGGTTGCAGCAAAACAGAAAGGATCCAAAGTGGTTAGTGGCCTTGTCTAATGCACTTCTGAAAGTCCGTTATAAAGATGAATAGGAAAGCAAATGGTAGGTTTTCAGTCAACCCAGAAACCTCGTGTAGCTATAAGAAACATAATTGTGCATAGTTATTTATTCATTCAGAGTGTGAGAGGTGGGCCAGCTCTACGTTCCCAGTTTACCAAAGAACAGGGCTGTCCACTTTGCTAAACCCAGGTTCCTTTCGAAGCTCCCAGTAAGTGTCGTTAGAAACCCAGGCTTCTCTCTGATTTGCATCAGTGACTTTTCTGTGAAAATATGAAAACCAAAGTCAGCCACAAATGACGTCATGGTGATCTCATAACCAGACTGGCTTCTGTAGATTAGTCAGGAAGACATAAACAGTAGCTCTTGTAAGCTAGTTAGTGTCCTATCTGCTCCTGACCGACGATTTAACTATTTGTAACTAGGAAGTTTTTTTTTTTTTTTTCTTCTGTATTTGTTACAGAGTCTACAGGGTCTCACTACATAGATCAGACTCAGTGATTCTCCTGTTTTTAGCCTACCAAGGGCTGGGATTACAGGCGGGCCACCACACCCAATGTCATGGCTCTCTCAGCGTACCCTGGGGGTGGAGCTGGCACTACATGCTTGGGGGTCAAACTCTGGTCACTGTGCTCTGCCTAAGCAGGCCCTTTGGTCTGCTAAGCTATGAGGCTGGCCCAGGATTTTTTTTTTTTTTTTTTTTTTTGAGAGAGGCTCTTGCTATGTAGTCCAGGTTGGACTCGAACTCATAGGGATGCTCCTGCCTTGGCCCCCAGAGTGCTGGGATTATACAGGTACAGATTATACCACTGCACTCAGCCTTTTTATTTTTAAATATCTGATATGGAAACAGGTAGGAGAGGAACTGAGGGCAAGAATGAACCACTTCCAGGCAGGAACACAGAATAGAGAGCTGCAAGCAAAGCATATTTATACTTTGTGACTCAGAGCTCCCAGCCCAGCTCCACAGAATTATTTCTGCTTCACTTTCACTTGCAGGGAAAAGTGTGCAACACCAGCAAATGCACAAGCCTCTGCAGGGCCTCTAACGTGCACCCTGTGGACACCTGAAGGATCAGGCTGCACGTCTGCTCCAGGACAGTCAAAAGGTGGCAGCTCTAAAGGATAAGAGGTTAACCTGAATTTTTCTCTTTTCAGGCTCTTGGGGGTAAAAATATGGATTTTTTAAAAAAAAATATGGATTTTTAAACTACAGATTCATCTGTGATGTATGTATTATCCTGTAGTAATCACCTATCATCATACCACTGAAGGACCCAATCTGATCAGAGGAAAGCTGTGTGCGACAGAAATAAAACCCAATCCTAATGACCCTGTGCCATAGGCTCCCGTCTAGGCCCTGGCTGAGGGAGTGGGAACAAGTCGCCAGCATGCTCAAGGGTGCAGCTAAGGGACAAAGTCTCCTGGGTGAGATCCTTACTCCCCTAATGCCCGTGAGAAGAAAAGGTCTGTAGAGAAGATTTCTTTTTATGAAATCTTCCACAAGTGCAAAACCTGGTGCCACTATTTCACTGACAAAAAAGAAGCTAGAAAACTCAGTTTCTTTTTCTTTTTGCCTAGTTTCTCATGATTTGTGGTGAGCAAATGAAACATGAATTTATTACAGTAATGAAATGACTTACTTAAAAAATTTTGGTATATGCTCAAGGTTGTTTTCTTCCATATATCGTCTTCGAGATCTCTGGAGTTCCTCTACTCTTTGCTTCTCGGCTGCTGCAGCTTCTACATTTCCTTCTTCCAAAAATCTAAGCAGAGAGCAGTTGATATTTCCGTAGGTTATCTTCTTCTCAGGGGAAAAACAGTCTCATTTGCATAAAGTTACACTTCGGGTGTCGTGAATGTGACATATTGAACTGTGATGCTGTGGTAAGGTCACATCACTCTGTCTCAGGTTACCTCTGTCTATAAGTCAATGAACATAACTTTCTGTGCTTGTGGACTGAATTATTGCATCCAGCACCATATGGTAGGCGGGAGGTGCCAATGGCGGAGGGTCAAAAACTTGAGATTTACAGGACAAGAGTTTAGGGTGAGAACAGCATGAAGTCACAGTTGTGTGCCTTTCCCATTGGCCCAAGAGGCACCTGTTAAAGACTAGCAGTGGAGGACAGGAACTGGCTGTCCTCCATCTATCCTGAGACCAGACTGAGAGGTAAGGAGGTTTCCTGTTCTGTTGGTGAGAGACTGATGACAAAGAAAGGAACCACTGTGTTGGGGATTATCGCAGGCAGCAGAGTAGGAAATAAAATTTAAGAAGGGAATATGGAAATAGAACTAAACAGGAAAAAACACACCTAGTGGTAATTTCCCAATGTCTGCAGCTCCAAGTGAGAGCAAAGAACAGGGTTATACTATGATACATGCTGTGCAGACTTGATAACACTGTAGGGCCACACGGGGAGACAGCGTGTCCTTGGCTGGGTGGGGTAACATAAGCGAGCTGAAAACCGCAGCAGAGCATTCAGTACTGAGCACATTTTGGCAGAAAGCACAGCCACAAACTCACTGGAAGCAGAAAACTGATTGTGGGTAGAATTCATAAAGCATATAAAATTCTTGGGAAGGGTGCAAGGAACTGTAGGAGGAGGCAACATGTGTATTACATAATAATAATAAAAAAAGAAAAATTCAAAAGGATTAAAGCTACTGCATTTTGAGTCCCTCTCATATGCTGTGGGACCTTGACGCGTGTTGGACCAGCTGTAGATTTTCAGTCAAAGCATTTGTCAGTGTGCCTATTGGTTACCCTCTTTTCCTCAGGATAAAAAAAAAAAAAAATACATGTTACAAGCTATAGACATAAATAGGTTAAAAACACTGGATGAGGAGTGACCCGTATTTAGTGGACAGCGTGAATTTGCAGAACTTGGATAAAGGTCAGGGGTTAAGGGGGGGTTAGCGTTTCTGATAAAACAGAACTGTGTTACTGTCCCCTGGAACTCTTAGGGCAAGATAAACTTGTTACGATGACTCCATAAACACTTCACCCAGGATAGAAAACTCAAATATTGTGAAGTCAATGAGGGAATGAAGGAAGGACTGAATAAGCAAATGAAGATGGTAAAAATAAGTCTTTATGCCCTCTTATGCCCACAGCCCAATCTAAGCTACACCTGAACTATGACTCCCTTTCTTACCTTTGATCTGGCCGGAATCGGGCATCTGTTGGTGGAAGAAGATCTTTCAGTACAGGATCTAATTCATTGAGCTCAATAGCGAACCGTGTGAAGCCATAGTAGAGCTCGTAGTTGGTTGGCATGGAACCTGGAACGAGGCCAGAGAACCACTGTGAGAAGACAAAGGCTTAAAGAAGAAAAGAAGTCTGGGTGCTCCAGCGCAACCGATACCCACTCCAACATCAAATTTGCAGTCATGAACACTAGATTGTGAATTAAACTGGCTATATTTTGCTAGGTTGGGAAGTTTATGTTGATGACTGGAATGGATAGGTTCACATATTTAATAAAACCCCATCTTTACAGTGAAACTTCATACATACAGCAGCAACTCTCACTGACTAAATTCCACAAATTTCCTCTCACATACTCAACTGCCAGGGAGGTTAACTATGAACATTAAGATTTCACCAGAGACTCATGACTTATTTCCTTTTAGAAAAAGGAGGCTATGCAGAGCTAAATTAATATTTATTGGCACTTCTTACTAAACTCAAAGGCAAGATCTTTTGTGTTCTTTGCTCATGGAGGTAACCCAAGTTCTTAGCACAAACCTGATGCATGGTCAGCACTCAGCACACAGTTTCTAATCACTTTGCTGGCAGGATCCTGAAACACTCATTGATTTCTCTTAGGAAACTGATAGCTGATTTTTATAGCTAGAGATGAGCTGGCACATTCCAGTGAAAATGAACATCATGTGGAGACTTGTTCCATTTATACCCGATATTCAAGTATGGGCCAAGGTGTTACCTAAACTCTGTGGATGTCTTTTACTAAATGTCAATATACTTCAACTTTTATTGCTCAAATGAAAAGATTACCTATTCTGGTGAATTCCTGGATTTGTGGATTGTAGATGTCTGCAAGTTTTCCTTTATTTCATAACACAAGTAAGGATATGTTGATGTACTTCAATTATTTAAATTCTAGTGAATATACACTGCTTTTGAAAGGCAAGCATTACATCTGGAGTGATTTTACATGTTCACTTTTAACATGTTACCAATGTCAGTGATTTGGACTAAATTTGTTATTATCAGCTATGAGACTTTGGTTTTGCCATGTAACTTCCATGTGAGGTTGAAATGCAACTGCATCAAGCATCTTCATTTTCAATCCACAAAGGAAGCACAAGGTGCACTGCACTGGGTGAGCATGTGTCCCCTGTCCTCCTGTGGCTCTGGGGCTTGTGCCAGCCTCACCTGGTCTCCAGATGCACTTGGCAGAGGGGGCCACGCCGCAGTAGAGCCCTTCGTGCCACTTCCCAAAGAGCCGGTGCACTGCTTTGCCTTCCTGATCTATCACGACTCCCTGCACTTCATTGACATTGGAATTCCAATAATTCACCTGGAAAAACCAAACCCCATCAGGTTAGTAGCACCAGCACCTCCAGAATTTCCAGCTGGAAAATCCTTTTCACCTTGAAGTCCCTCGTCCTGAACCATTTCCAGAAACCTGTCTCAGAATGTTTTATATGCAAGGTTGGGCTTCTAGTATCAGTTAGCTAAGCTTTCAAGGGGATGATCTCTCCTCCATGCTGCGGCTTGGTGGAATGGTAGAGAAAGCTCAGGTGCAACCCTAAAAACCTAACATTAATTCCTCACACAGTAATCCTCTTAGCTTGAGTTCTCCCTTTATTCACGGATTTAGTGAAATTTAATTGACTATGCTGTAGAAATAGTTGGTGAATTCTGTAACACATGCAAACACAAAGGTGATACAGATTCTACTTTAGATTACAGTGATTTGGATGAGAACAGTGATGGGGTTAGTAGGCTTGTCGTGACTGGCAGCTACCATCCATGTGGCTGTTCTATTCAAGTATTTTTGGAAAATGACAACTGCATTTTAATTAGCTCCCTAAAATAGGATCACTTGAATATGTTGTAATCAAGCAGGAATAGAATAGAAATAGAAACCAGAAGACTCGGTATGGGCAAGAAGTGTCCTCTGGAATTT